TTCCTTCAACTTCTAGATTGGTAACATAAATTTAATTTTTGTCTCTTTTTCAACTGCCAAGCTAGCAGCTTCCCACATTTATTCGCAGATTCAAAAGATCTTTGGTTCATTTGTTTGATTTTCCATTCCACTTCTTGGTTAATCAATTTCATATATGGTGACTGGTGAAATTTAATTTCTCTTAAAGTCTCTTTTGATTTTGGATTCAATCTTAATTTTTTCTCTCCATCTCTAATCTTCTCTAATATCTTATCCTTTTTCCTATTCCAAAGTTTTTTCTTGATCGTGTTTTGTTGTATCAAAAACCCTCTCATAACAGCTTTACTTGCGTCCCAGATTATTCTTTTTTCCACCGAGGTGTTAAGGTTAATTTCAAAGTAGTCCTTTAAAGTTTTTTGGGGCCTTCTTTACCATCTCTTGGATCTCTTAGCAGGTTGTCATTCATTTTCCATCTGAAGGAGTCGGCAGTAGTAAATCTCATTTTCCATTTTCAGAGCGTTGTGGTCGGAGCATGTCTTTGGGCAGATTTCTACTCTTGTGGTCTTAGGTGCCAGCCCTCTAGTTGTCAAATTTGGTCGATTCTTGTCCATGACAGGTGAGCCTCAGAAAAGAAAGTTCCTTCTTTACCTAGGGGGTTTCTCGTCCTCCATAGATCAATCAAGTCCATATTGTCAGTTAGTTCGAAGAAAGTTTTTGGTAGTCTTCCATCTTTAGTTCAAGTTCTGGTTCTGTGACTTGTCCATATAGGTAGAGGACCACCCCATTCATGTCTCCCATCATAATGATGTTAGAATAATCCAGATAGTCCAGTAATGTCTCATGAAGCTTCTTGTAGAATTCTGATTTCCCCTCATTTGGTGCGTAGATTTCCTAATATCAAAACTTTTTTTCCTTGGATTTGTATTTCAATTGCCAGGATTCTTCCTTGTTCATCTTTAAACAAAAATTTTGGTGATAGATTCTCTTTTGCATAGATCACCACTCCTCTCTTTTTAACTCTGTCTGATGAGATAAATTCTTGGCCTAATCTTTTGTTTATTAACACTTTCCTGTGAAGCCTGGTCACGTGAGTTTCTTGCAGACAGATTATGTCCAAATGTTCCTTCTTCAAAATATGAAAGATCCTTTTGCGTTTTTCCGGGGAATTTGCGCCATTAATATTCCAGCTATACAGCTGTAGAGACATCCTGTATCAATCTGTTGTTGCTCTTTATGGGGTGTCTTCTTTCTTGTCTAAATCCGAGGGTGCTGGCTCTTTCCCAGACTCAGGTGGAGGCCAAGGGACTGCTATTCCCTTCTGCAGGTCTTCTCCGTGATCGTGTAGAAACTTCTGGCTATCCTCTTTCGTTTTGATTTTAATCTTCTTTCCTTTGTAGTTAAATGATAAGCCTTGTGGAAACTCCCACCTGTAAGGTATTCCGTTGCTTCTCAAAAGTCCAGCTAGGTCGGTGTAGTTAGATCTGAGATCCAGTAGTTGTTTAGGAATGTCCTTGTAAATTTGTGCTCTTCTGTCCTGGATCTCAAGTGCTTTATTGAAATGTAGGTCAAGTAGTTTGTCTCTCTCTTGCTTGGTCCTTAAGATGATCAAACAATCTCTAGGCCTGTCCTTCCTGGCAACTCTTCCCAGTCTAAATGCAGTTGTTATTTTAAAATCTGTATCTTCCTCTATACCCCAGAATTTAGAGAATTCTGCTGTCAAAAAGCCGGTCAAGTCCTCTTTCTCAATCTCTGGGATAGAGCGTAATCTCAAATTATTTTCCCTGTTTCTCAGTTCCACCATAGACAGGTAGGCCTGCTGGTCACTAATATGTTTGTGAAGCGGCCTTACTTCTCCTTTCAATTCATCCACTTTCTGAATTGCTTGACCTGCTTTTTCATTCGCAGCTTCGGCCAATTTCCGATTTTCAGATGTAGCGTCCTTTAAATTCCCAATGTCTTGTGAATGCTTAGCCACCTGTTCAGAAAGTTTAGTGATTGAAGATGTAGCTAAGTCAATTTTTGCAGTTTGGTCATCAACCTTTTTGTTCAAAATTGCAAATTGTTGTAGCATTTCCTCTAAAAGAGTGCTAGATCCCCCAGCTGCCATATCCTCAGTTGTTGCCTGTTCGGCTTCCTTAGATGGAGCTGTTGTTGAGGGTACAGCTCCCTGTAAGACAGCAGGGACTGAAGATCTGCGAGCCTGAGAAATCAGAGTTGTTTGTACTAATTGGCCTTTTCCTGCTTTCGACGCAGCTCTTGTTTTGGTGGGCCACTCATTCCACACCTGTCTTTGGATTCAAGGTCAAACTGTCAAATGTTCCATGAGAAAGACAGGCCTCAAAGTAGATAACCAAACCACAGAGAGTCAAAACAAAGTTGGTTCTCAGGAATTTGTAAATCCCAAACTCCACTAGAGGGAGTGTTATTGCAGCTCAGGAAAGAAGAAAGAAAGTTTCAGTCGCCACTAAAGTTCCTGCAGTTAAGTAAATTAACAATAGTCCTTAAAGAAAACTTTTTTCCACTAGCAGAGCCCTTTCAATATTGCCACAATAGTTTTTCTAAAGATGCAAGATACAGTTATTTAATTGTATCCACCAATGGTGCCTCTATGTATCCATTTCAACTTTGTATATGTATCCGCAAAGCAGCCTTTTTCCCCTGCCAGCCCGGGACTGGGGTTTTTAAAGTTTTTAGAGTCCAGTAAAGGAGAGGATCCTCAAATAAAATCAACACAATAACAGATAGAAAAATAAAAGCTTGCCTTTCCCTTCAGTTACTAGCTCTACCAGACGCATGAAGCTTCCCGTTTTAAAGTCTCTTTCTGTTGCTTCCAGCTTGTCAATTCCTTTGCCTTTGATCTCTAAGCGCTACCGGGAGACGGACTTCCTTTTTCTCGTCTCCCGCTTTCAGCCAAATTTTCAATTTACAGTCCCGAAATTAATACTCTTCTTACTCACGAGTAGATGATTTAAGGTCCAATTCTTAAGGAAGAAAGGTCGGCGCTCATCAGCAACAGCCGCGCGGCTTCACTCCCGCAGAAAGAGCGATGAATCCACAGCACCGCTTCCCCTCCGCGCTTCCGGACCCCCTTACGGGGACCCTTCTTCGTTTTGGGGGTCGCTCTAGGTGCCCGCCGGATCCCACGGCCACGAGCTCACTCTGCTCGTGGTTTATCTTAATGGGTCGTCGCTTTGCCGCAGCGAACGACCCTTTCCTGCGGAGCCCCTCTTCGCAGCGCAAAGAGGACCGCCATTACTTATTTCGCGCCGCCTCCGGAAGTGAAAGGAAGAGACTCTCTCCACACAGCCCTCCCCGATGTACAGCGGGGCTAGTTCTCCTCTCTTAAAACACACTCTCAAGTGACCAGGGATGATGAGAGTCTGACATCATATGACTACTAGCCATGAGGGCTATCTTTGTTTGTTCAAAATATTTCAAGACTGCTTGATCAAAAAAGTTCTCTGAGCCTAGGGCACAGGTAAAATTAGATATAGTAAAGGTAAAGGTACCCCTGCCCGTACGGGCCAGTCTTGCCAGACTCTGGGGTTGTGCGCCCATCTCACTTAAGAGGCCGGGGGCCAGCGCTGTCCGGAGACACTTCTGGGTCACGTGGCCAGCGTGACAAGCTGCATCTGGCGAGCCAGCACAGCACACGGAAACGCCATTTACCTTCCCGCCAGTAAGCGGTCCCTATTTATCTACTTGCACCCGGGGGTGCTTTCGAACTGCTAGGTTGGCAGGCGCTGGGACCGAGCAGCTGGAGCGCACCCCTCCGCGGGGATTCGAACCGCCGACCTTTTGATCGGCAAGCCCTAGGCGCTGAGGCTTTTACCCACAGCGCCACCCGCGTCCCTAAAATTAGATCTAAAGCACAGCTAAAATCCACACTCTAATTAAAAACAACTAGACACAAAGCCATTGCTATTATTCCTCCACTTTCATAGGCCTCAGAATACCAGTTGTGGGAATCTCAAGTGAGGAGAGGAGCTCTCTTGAACTCAGATCCTGCTTGTAGGCTTCCCATTGGGTTGGCCACTGTGAGAAGGGGATCACAGAGTTGGAAGGGACTCTGAGGATCATCTAGTCCAACCCCCTACAATGCAGGAATTGTTGGGAATCTGAATACGTGCAGCTACTCACACAGAGTCAATTAGGGTTTGGCAGACAGCCAGAAGGCAATCTGAAGGAGTAAGTCTGCCTGGTGATACAGAGGCATGGAGACAGCTCTGTGATTGGTCAAGCTCTCTCACGGGAGCAATGATTAATGGCCTACTAACTGGAATGTGTTAGTACGAGTTTGAGTTCAGGAGTTGTGAGTCGTGTAAGAGAGAGCTAGCTAAAGATCCATGTTCTGTTCTGTTTCTGTAAATAGTCCACTGTATATAATAGATACCTAACTACAAGTTCCTGGTTCCTGCTTCGTCCATCCTGTCTGCAGCCAAGTTGCCAATTGCTTTCATGAACTCTGCATTTACTCTGCTAGGCCTGGCTAAGGTCCTGCAACTAGTCAGAAAGTTGCAAAACACTAATAGGTTTTGCCAGTAGGAATCACAGATTGAACCTGCAACCTTGGCATTATCAGCACTGCTCTCTATCCAACTGAGCTCTCCAAGATGGTGGACTCAATGGGCCTTTGACCTGATCCCACAAAGCTCTTCTTAAAATATCGCATTTTTCACCCTATAAGACGCACCAGACCATAAGACGCACCTAGTTTTTGGAGGAGGAAAACAAGAAAAAAAAATTCTGACTCTCAGAAGCCAGAACAACAAGAGGGATCACTGTGCAGCGAAAGCAGTAATCCCTCTTGCTGTTCTGGCTTCTGGGATAGCTGCGCAGCCTGCATTCGCTCCATAAGACGCACTCACATTTCCCCTTACTTTTTAGGAGGGAAAAAGTGAGTCTTATAGAGCAAAAAATATGGTATATTTTAAGACTACATAAGCTATTTTGTTTTCTTTTTGTTAAGTATTACCCTTCCTGAGCCTGGAGGATGTGGGTGAGCTATCTCTACATTAAATTACACTTTTTAAGAACCTTTCCTGTTGTGTGGTTCTTTTTCTTCCTTGCAGGAAACGATTGTTCTTCTGCCACAGCAACGCTACATGAAAACGAAGAGGAAAAAGGTGTCCTTGGATTTATCGATCGAGTAGAACCATCTATACCGGCAGCGGGGAAAGGAGAAGCCAGCCTTACCCAGTGCAGGGATCACCACAGTACATTTGAGAGTCAGTCCAGGCCTGAGAGCTGGAGAGGAGACTGCCAAGGGAGTGAAGCAGACCTCCGCAAGAGCTTCAGTGAAACCATGGCCTGGCAGGAGACTCCAGCAGGTGAGAGACAAAAGACTTGCAAAATTTGTGGGGAAAAGTTCAGCTGGAGTACTGATCTCATCAAGCACAAGAGGACTCACACGGGAGAAAAACCTTACAAATGTTTGGATTGTGGGAAGTGTTTCAGCCAGATATCGGACCTTAACATCCACAAGAGAATCCACACGGGAGAAAAACCCTTTAAGTGCTCTCACTGTGGGAAAAGTTTCAGCAGGAGCACAAACCTTATTGTGCATGAGAGGATGCACACAGGAGAGAAGCCCTATAAGTGCTCCTACTGCGAGAAAACCTTCTGCGCCGGCTCGCAGCTTATTAGTCATCAGAGAATCCACACAGGAGACAAGCCCTATAAGTGTTTTGAGTGTGGGAGAATCTTTAGTTGGAGCGCCACATTTCGAAGACACCAGAGAATCCACACGGGTGAGAAACCATATAAGTGCTTGGAATGCGGCAAAAGTTTCAGTTTCAAGTCTGTCCTTATTGCTCACGAGAGAACCCACACGGGAGATAAGCCCCATAAGTGTTCTGAATGTGGGAAAAGCTTTAGTCAGAGGGCTCACCTTAGTAGTCACCAGAGAATCCACACCGGAGAGAAACCATTTCAGTGTTCACAGTGTGGAAAAAGTTTCGGTCTGAGGTCAGTTCTGATGGCCCACGAAAATACCCATGTTTTGGAGAAGCCGCACAAGTGTTCAGACTGCGGGAAAAGTTTCAGCAACAAATCACAGCTCACGAATCATCAGAGGCTGCACACGGGAGATAAACCTTACAAATGTTTTGTCTGTGAGAAAACATTCAACTTGAGCTCCCTCCTTACTGGACATTTGAGAACCCACACCGGAGAAAAACCGTATAAATGTTCACACTGTGAGAAGTGCTTTGGTGGCAGATCTACTCTTGTGGCGCATGAGAGGACCCACACGGGAGAGAAGCCGCACAGATGCCCGGATTGTGGGAAAACCTTCAGCCAGAAGACTAATCTCAACAGTCATCAGAGAATCCACACTGGAGAGAAGCCTCATAAATGCCTGGACTGCGGAAAGGGCTTCAGTCAGAAATCACACCTCCTTAATCACCAGAGGGACCACACGGGAGAGAAACCATTCAAATGTGTGTGCTGCGATAAATGCTTTGGCGCCAGGTCCACCCTTGTGGCGCATGAGAGGACCCACACGGGAGAGAAGCCACATGAATGCAAAGACTGCGGTAGGAGCTTCAGTCGGAAAGCGCACCTTGCCAGACATGAGCGAACCCACGGTGCTGGCAAAGCATTCTTGGTGCTCAGTCAGTAGGAAGGTTTCTGGGTGGCCAGAGACCATCAGTGAAAGCAAACCCACCCTTGTAAATAAACTATATAATTTTCGCTGCAGGAACAAAGACAAACTTTGTTAACGTCCTCATCCCATCCACATGTAATTTTGGAATAAATCCGAGAGATGGGGGGGGGGGTATTTCCGAGTGACATGCCTAGATTTCGTTGCATGCATGATGTCATCATTTCTGGGAACTTGTTTAGGGATTGTTTTGTGCTTTTTAGGGGGGAGGAAGGAGCCGTAACTCGGCAGTAGAGCACTGAGCATAGTGGTCAGTCCCTGATGTCTCCATTTTAAAGAAAGGATCTAGTAAGCAGGAACCAACTCTGTACTAGAGGGGCCTACAACAAGCATTGCAGTGTGGAAAATGTCCAAAAGCCAAGCCTCTCCATTCCATTCCGCCTCTCCAGTTTCCAGGATTTCACCGCTAATCAGCATTCCGTGGCAACTGAGCATGCTCAGTCCTTAATAGGATTTCATTCCATAGCCTCAGTTTCCAGATTTTCCTCCACCCCACATCCCACAACAGTCTCGACAACATTCCGTTGCCACTGAGCATGCTCAGTCTTTATTGGGATGTTTTGGAGAGCTTCCCAACACCCCTTAATATTTTGGTTGTTGTTTTTTATTAAAAAAATACTACCATATTTTTCTGTGTGTAAAATGATTTTTTTTCCTTTTTAAAAAATAGGCAGTGGGTGGGTGGGTAAGCTTTTGGTGGCAGCAACCCCTCCCAAAAAAAGCTCAAGAAATATTGATTTATTAATTTTGGGTTCAAAAAAAATATACATGGGGGCATCTTATACAGTGATTTCCCCCCTAAAAATAAATAAAATAAAATAAATGTTATGGGGTACTCTCATTTTGACTCAAGAAAATCACCATTTTATAAGTTCAGATAAATACAGTGAATGGACAAAAGTACAAAGATTCACAAAATGTTTAGGAGAACCAGGCAGAGGGCCTTCTTAGTAGTGGCTCCTGCCCTTTGGAACACCCTCCCATCAGATGTCAAATAAATAAACAACTATATGACATTTAGAAGACATCTGAAGGCAGCCCTGTTTAGGGAAGTTTTTAATGACTGATGTTTTAATGTATTTTTAAATTTATGTTGGAAGCCACCCAGAGTGGCTGGGGAAACCCAGCCAGATGGGCGGGGTAGAAATAATAAATTATTGTTGTTGTTGTTATAGTAGTAGTAGTAGGGGTATGTGTACCCCTGCATACCCCCCACTCATCTTATACATAGAAAATTATGGTATTTGGTACTTCTGTAACCCTTGGCGATTACCCAAGTTTGCTGATGGCTCTTCTCTTTGCTACAAGGCTTACCTCTCTTGAATAAAGAGAGAATGACAAAAGACAATGATCAAGAAAGTATCTGGGGCTCTCTCTCTTTCTACGTGTGTGTGTGTGTGTGTGTGTGTCTGTGTCTGTGTCTGTCTGTCTGTGTCTGTCTGTCTGTCTTCTGAAACCTCTCATTTATTGACACAATAATAGTGCATTAGTGGCAGATTTATAGCAGATCATCCACAGGTCATTCCACTTCATTAGTTGTTCTGTGCTGCTTCCCCAGGGTTACAGCATTAATGCCATCTATAGGGGACGCTCTTCATGACAATGTTAACGGAATAAAAGGGAATAAACCAGAGTGTTTGTGGTATAAAAAGCGACGGGATTTCGTCAGGGAGTGACCAGTCGTGCTGCAATTGGAAATGAGTTTATGCAACAGTTTATATTCAAAATGGAGGGAAACGGGCAGTTTCCAGCTATTGCAGTGGAAAGAATCTGCTAATTCAGTGGTACCTTGGTTTTCGAACTTAATCCGTTCCGGGAGTCCGTTTGACTCTTGAAACCGTTCAAAAACCACGGCACAGCTTCCGATTGGCTACAGGCGGAAGCTGCGTCAGACATTTGGCTTCTGAAAAACGTTCGCAAACCAGAACACTTACTTCCGGGTTTGCGGAGTTCGGGAGCCAATTTGTTCGGCAACTCAGCCGTTCGAGAACGAAGGTACGGCTGTATTACTAACAGCTTGCCAGTGTTTCACCGGGAGGGGGGGCCTACGTTTACAATGGAACATGACACAGAACCCACAAGTTGAATAAAAAGTTGTCCTGTCAACCAATTATTATTATTCTGTGGGCATCTGCCCTTATTTAAGTGCATGTAACCCATTAATGCTGGTGGCGCTGTGGGTTAAACCACAGAGCCTAAGACTTGCCGATCAGAAGGTCGGCGGTTCGAATCCCCACGACGGGGTGAGCTCCCTTTGTTCGGTCCAGGCTCCTGCCAACCTAGCAGTTCAAAAGCATGTCAAAGTGCAAGTAGATAAATAGGCGGGAAGGTAAACGGTGTTTCCATGCGCTGCTCTGGTTCGGCTTAGTCATGCTGGCCGCATGACCCGGAAGCTGTACCTTGGCCAATAAAGCGAGATGAGCGCCGCAACCCCAGAGTTGGCCACGACTGGACCTAATAGTCAGGGGTCCCTTTATCTTTAACTTTACCCCATTAAAATGAAATAGATTTAATGTTTTGACATCGCAGTGTTGGTGTCTGTTTATAATGGAACGTAACTTGGCTGCATTTGTGTCGCATGAGCAAAGGACAAATGAGTCCCTGCCCCATTTTTAAGACTCCGGATGTATGTTTGGGGGGATGCAATAAAGAAGAGGCTCCATAAGTAGGGAACCAGTGTGATTTTTATTTCCCAGCAGGGCTCTTCACAGCTATATGGAAGTCACATATTCATTCAACTAAAGTGCTTTTTTTCTCCAGCACGGAAATTAAATTGCAGGAAAGGCTTTGCTTCAAGGTCGAGAAACCTGAGGAATGCAGCTCTCTGGACCTCTCCCCCAGGCCACATTTCCTCGCTGGCTCTGCTCTGCATAGTGCTTGATAATTTCGCCTGACTGGAACGAGTCCTTGAACTCTGAGCATGCCTTGCCCGGAGAGGAGATAGAGGCTTGTATGTGAGAGCATGTGCAGAAACTAGCCTAGCATTAAAACCCAGCGAGAGCCTGGCTGCAGGATCAGGCCAATAGTCTAGTCCAGCATCCTTCCCCCGCCCCAGTGGCTAATCAGATGCCTCAGTAGGAAGGAAGCACCCCCATCGTTCAGCCCGGACCTGAGGTCCAGCTCCAAGGGCCTTCTGGCAGTTCCCTCACTGCGAGAAGCAAGGTTACAGGGGACGAAGAAGAAGAGTTTGGATTTGATATCCCACCTTTCACTCCCTTTTAAGGAGTCTCAAAGCAGCTAACATTCTCCTTTCCCTTCCTCCCCCACAACAAACACTCTGTGAGGTGAGTGGGGCTGAGAGACTTCAAAGAAGTGTGACTGGTCCAAGGTCACCCAGCAGCTGCCTGTGGAGGAGCGGAGACGCGAACCCGGTTCCCCAGGTTACGAGACTACCGCTCTTAACCACTACACCACACTGGCTCCAGGCCACACTGGGACCAGGCAGAGGGCCTTCTTGGTAGTGGCGCCTGCCTTGTGGAATGCCATCCCATCAGATGTCAAGGAAATAAAAGGCAGCCCTGTTTAGAGAAGTTTTTAATGGTTGATGTTTTATTATATTTTTAATATTTTGTGGGGAGCTGCCCAGAGTGGCTGGGGAAACCCAGCCAGATGGGTGGGGTATAAATAAATAAATAAATAGTTGTTGTTGTTTAGTCATTTAGTTGTGTCCGACTCTTTGTGACCCCATGGACCAGAGCACGCCAGGCACTCCTGTCTTCCACTGCCTCCTGCGGTTTGGTCAGACTCATGTTGGTAGCTTTGAGAACACTCTCCAACCATCTCGTCCTCTGTCGTCCCCTTCTCCTTGTGCCCTCCATCTTTCCCAACATCAGGGTCTTTTCCAGGGAGTCTTTTCTTCTCATGAGGTGGCCAAAGTATTGGAGCCTCAGCTTCAGGATCTGTCCTTCCAGTGAGCACTCAGGGCTGATTTCCTTCAGAATGGATAGGTTGGATCTTCTTGCAGTCCATGGGACTCTCCAGAGTCTCCTCCAGCACCATAATTCAAAAGCATATTATTATTAGTATTATTAGTATTATTATTAGGGCCCAGCAAAGGCAAAACCTGCATTCTTGGCTCCATCTGTTTTTGACTTTGGCCCAGGCTCACGCTGTCACCTGGCCCCCAGAAGGTTGTTTACAAGAGAATGAGGCGCTTGGGCCGAAAAAGGTTCCTTACCTCTGCATTACTGTATGCTCCAGTGGGACATTGTTGAGAGCATTGCAGAGAATTGTAGAGTCGGAAGGGACCCCTAGAGTCATCTAGTCCTTCACGGCCTAGGACCCTCGTACCTACAGGACTGCCTCTCCTGGTATGCCCCATGGAGGACCTTAAGGTCCATAAATAGCAGCACCCTAGAGGTCTTGGGCCCTAAGGAAGTTAGATTAGCCTCAACCAGAGCCAGGGCCTTTTCAACTTTGGCTCCGGTCTGGTTGAACGCTCTGCCTCATGAGACCAGGGCCCTGCAGGATCTGATTTCTTTTGGCAGGGCCTGTAAGACAGAGTTGTTCCGCCTGGCCTTTGGCTTAGAATCAGTTTGATTCCCTCCCCCTCTTTCTTTTTCCTTTCTCCTCCTGTGAAGAGTAAAGGTAAAGGTACCCCTGGCCGTACGGGCCAGTCTTCCCAGACTCTAGGGTTGTGCGCTCATCTCACTCTATAGGCCGGGAGCCAGCACTGTCCGGAGACACTTCCGGGTCACGTGGCCAGTGTGACAAGCTGCATCTGGCGAGCCAGAGCCGCACACGGAAACGCCGTTTACCTTCCCGCTAGAAAGCGGTCCCTATTTATCTACTTGCACCTGGGGGTGCTTTCGAACTGCTAGGTTGGCAGGCGCTGGGACTGAGCAACGGGAGCGCACCCCGCCGCGGGGATTCGAACCGCCGACCTTTCGATCGGCAAGCCCTAGGCGCTAAGGCTTTTACCCACAGCGCCACCCGCGTCCCTGTGAAGAGGCTGCATCCTAATGTTTTAATGTTGTATTTTAATCTTGTTTTTAAAATTGTATTTTAATCAACTTGTTTTTATTATTGGTTGTTAGCCGCCCTGAGCCCGGTCTTGGCTGGGGAGGGCGGGGTATAAATAAAAATTATTATTATTATTATTATTATTATTATTATTATTATTAGTCCAACCCCCTGCAATGCAGGAATCTCAACTAGAGCATCCGTTTCCCCGCAGATGTGAAATGTGGACGGGGACACTAGCATTGCAGGAAGGGGTGTTCGCATGTAGAGCCATCCTTTTGGGGTGGCGGGAGAAAGGGGGTCTACTAACACAGCATGTGCCTTTTTGGGGTGGAATCAGGACTTGGTTTTACAACACACACACACACCTCAACCTCTGGGAGTGGGGGACCTTTTTACGCAAATACACAATTTACTGGTTCCGGAGGGAACTGCCAGGTTGGTGGGCTGGGGCAGAGGTTTTTTGGGGAGGGAAGCTGCTCACAGATTTGGGGTGGTTCCTGTCTGCCCCTTATGGGCCTACCTTACCCCACTTGGCCAAATCTCACAGGGACAGCTTTTTATTATTATTGAGACAGCAAGAAAAGAAAAAAAAGAAAACACAAATACCAAATTACACACAAGAACAACAATAAATACTGAATTTTCTTAACAAACAATAAGACA